ACTTTAAGTCACCGAGAGCCACGACAGTGTGTCACGCATTTATTTCATTCCGCAGTAAAGTAACGACGTCTTGGGTTTCACAAGCATCGGTTACTGCGCTTCTCGGAAGAATAATGGCTTTCGCTGAAGTATGCTACTCTTCATCCAGTGATATCTTACCTTCCTTCAGGGAACTTCTCTCCTTCCCTTCCTTCCGTTCCCTTCCTTCCCTTTCTTCGAAATAATCTGAGGAAAGCCATTACTTCTTAAGACGATCGCTGAGTTACTACTATTACTCAAAGTTAGTTACAAAGAGCACAATTTTCTAACTAACGTAACATATCATTGCAACACTAAAGTAATCGACATTAAACGACACAGTACTAAAAGTGTCCTCAAAAGTATACTAAGGTAATTATGTTTTTATACGGTATAATAGCTTTAAAATTGCATAAAAGTATACGGGATAAAATAAAGATACAATATTTGTCTGATACAAATTTTGTTTTTTTTTTCTATTCGGCAATGAAATAATTTTTTCCAAAATAATACCGAAAAACAAATTGTCACCGATAATAAAGCATCGATTCTATACATAGTCGTTTATTTCAACGTATTAATCATTTCTATTGTCGTATTTATCGAACGAATATTTTATTTACTATGCAATACAACGCTAAAATATTCGTGCCCGTAAATCAGCTATAAAGTAAGCAGTAAAAGGTTAATAAAATTTTTTTTTTAGCTGCGCATTAATCCGAAGGAAGAAATACGAGAAAAGTGTTATAACGATACCAAGAGTTTACTTTATGTTAACTCGTATGGGCTGATTATTATGCATTTGATAGTTCTTTAATGGCTTCTACTTTTCTATATCTACTTTTTCAACGATACTTGGTTTAAATACTTGCAAAAGAAATATATATATGCATATGTAATATAATGAACTTAATATCAATGAAATGTATTCAAAGTATTTTTTATTAAATGGCAGGTCTTTTCGTTTCTTCTCGACCGTAAAAGATGGTCTGGGTGAGAAGGAAATAGCACCGATTACCGACGACAATTAAGTGATCCGGCAACCGTAAACTCCCTGAAAGTTCTTCTTACCGCATCGAACTGCACGTCCGGACGTTATTGTCCGTAACTACTAGTTGTAACGAGTGGTTACTCTTGAAACGCGCCAAGGATTTTCGAGTGTCAAGTGTAAAACGACGTTTGGACAACATCACCATCGGTGAAGGTGAAACCATTTTCCACTTTAATAGATGATACATGAGTATAATACTTGAAACAAACGTGCCAATGTTTTTTACACCAAACAACCTACCTATATTTTTTTTTAGGAACAATTCCAAAGAAAACAACGACATACATCCTATTTAATAATAAACCGTGCTGGATTATTTTTAACCTTTATATTATAATGTTCCTATTTCCTTAATTGGACTGTGTTACAACGAACGTGTTTAAGAAATTTACAAGAATAATATTCAGAGGAACGCGTAAACGAAGAAATAGAGAAAACTTGACGAAATAAGAGATGAATAAAGAGAGAAAATTACGAATGAGATTCGTGGATAAGCTTAGTCAAGGTTTCTCTGGATAAAACGAGAATCAGGGATCAAAGTTCTGGGTACTTGCTAGCTCAAGGAGCAACCTGCAAATATGATAGAATGAGAGTGAGAAAGAGAGAGAGAGAGAGAGAGAGAGAGAGAGAGAGAGAACGAGAGAGAGAGAGAGAGAGAACATCGGTGAGGAATATAGCATTTCAAGGTGTATGCAATCATCTGAGCGAGGGTAAACTCTTCTTCTCCTATCTCGTGTTATCTCTCTTCAACCAAATGTAACTCAATGCGGAAGAACTTGACGGGTCTTGCCGTTGATTAGAAGCGTTCCGTTGAGTTTGTCAGTACGAGCTTCGAAAATTAGACAAAGCCGGGAAAGGAAGTTAGAGAGTGGGAGAGAGTGAGGCTTAGAAAGTAAGAGAGAACTAGAGGAAGACAGAGGGAAAGCTATAATGATTTGCAAACGCGTGAAATTACTCTTACCTGGAACACATCGGTGGTGCTAGTTCAGCATATATCCGACATTCATATACCGAAAATATTTTCCTTTCAAATAAAGATTTTCTGAACTAGATATTATCTACACGATGATGATGAGTAAATATAACAATATAATATATAAAATGAGAAAACAACAAAGAAACGCTTTCACATTCTAACATTCGTAATGAACACGCATATTTTTGTAATGTCACGCGATACTCGGTATAATAAAATATATACTCAAAAGTGTTTTCTCCGGATGTAATGCTTGTGCGCGTAAATTAAATAAGTTTAATTCGTGCAAAACGTAGGGCAAAAGAAAAATATAATAAATGAGTATCCATGTAATACGCACTCTTACTCGCAAAAATAGAATAATTTTCAACATCGATCGAAACGTTAAAGGGTAAAAGAGGTAAAATTTTCGTTTACGCATATTGTATAGACTTGAAAAATTAAAATTAAAATGAAAAGAATAAAAAATGTAGGACAAACGAGAATGTAATTTTAAGTCTCGCGAAATTTTCGTCTTAAATTACTCGGGGCGTCGTTTTACCGGCAACTTGTTTGATTTTAATTTATATTCGACTATCGCAAATTGCGACAGTATCGTTGTTACGACGATGAGAAGAAGATCATTATTACGATGAGATCGTAAGGATGCCGTCAAACCACAAAGTTTCTTTTCATTTAGCATAAAAATCAAATGAAACGAATCAACGACATTGTTGTTATCGAAAATAGGAAATAGAAACTATCATTTTTTTCGTAAAAAAACAACTACGAAAGAATCTCTTTCTTTGTTTCTTTCAAATATTCGAACTTTGACTCGTACCTTACTAAACATCCTTTCCTACTCGAAACGTTGAGAATTCATTAAGAAATAGTTGTTTCGAATGGAAACGGGGAAGAAAGAGAAAGAGAGAGAGAGAGAGAGAGAGAAACGGATATCTACCCTAATTTGTCTTAGCGTTTCGTGAGTAAGCACGACTTGGCACACGGCGCGTAATTATCGTTAGAAATTCCATTGCACTAAATTCCTGAACGGGTAAGTGGCAGAATTTTATCTCTGAAATACCTGTGGTCAAACCCCTCCTTCCCCCCGCCCCCTTCCCCACCCCATATCTTTTCCTTCGCACGACTTACTACCAAGGCAACGGAAAGAGATGGAGGAAAGTGAAAGAATGGTCGAACCCGGTATTGCTTGTCAAACTCAAACACTTTATTACGGTTTTCTTATGGCTCACTTCCAATTGCTTCGGAAAATTTTTATCGGGTTTATTTCTCAAATGGGAATATTAAAAACTGCTGCTGCTGCTTCGTATTTTAAACTATTTTATATTTCAACGTATCATCATTAATTCGAATTTAAAGTACGCAAATTCTTAGCAATTCAAGAAGTCTAAAAGTCTTTTCGTACGCGAAAGATGCTAAAGTATCATTTAAAGTTGGATTAATGATACTTGAAAGATAAATTAAAGTCATTTAAAAGTGTCATTCGTGATATTTCAATGTCAATAGAGGAAAAAAAGCGAAGAAACATTTTGGATTTATTCTACATTTTACACGTCGATTCTCGAACGAACAAAAGTTGTGCGAATAAAATAGAAATAGTGTGTCATTTCGGTTTTATAATATATTATTTAAACGAAATCAAGGGGGGGGGGAGAATAAAAAAAAAAGTGGGATGTAAATACGAAAGGTGAAATGAAAAATCTCTATGGTCATTTTTGTGATTTCACTTGCATAACCGGCCGTGGCTACATGTAATATCATTCTCTTTACTCGCGTATTTTTAGTACTCCCCTTAATTCGTAGGTAGGTTGCATAAGCTCGTTTGTACGCATATGCAAGAGCAGTAGCAGTAGCAGCATCAACGTAGTAGGTAGGTACTCGACGGATCCTGACTATATTATACTCGATCTAAAGGTTTACATCGGCTTTTCGTGAAAATGAATTTTGAGAATATTATTTCACGTGCTAATTCCTTTTCTCGTTGATGCATATCTGGCTTTTCTAGAATATGCGGCAAGAAAGAGAAATAGAAAGATAGAAAGAGAGAGAAAGAGAGAGATAGAGGTACTTAGTTTCGAGCACGTTTCAAATGACAGTGCCAACCGATTAAATTAATATTATATTTCCCCTTCCTTTAACGTAATGACGTTCTACTAGTTGTCGTGCTAAAGCTATTCGTCACGTTTTAACGAGCTACCACGTATTTATAGCGTCATAATATTTCTACGGGAGAAAGCCACATAACGCGAACTCTGCTTTATTTGCAAACCTCGTAAATGCGAATCTAGACATTGCGAACATTTCTATGCACGCCATTAGCTATCTTTCTTCTTCTTCTTCTTCTTCTTCTCTCGGTACATCTGCTGCATTTGTTATCTTTCTCTATTTTTTCCTCATAGGATCCTAAAAATTGTATTCTTCCTCTTGACTATCAAATCTTAAAGGTTGATTAATTTGAAGGCGTGTACGAAAAGTAATCGTTTTCATACGATTTGCACTCGACTATTCTTCTCTCTCATCCATTCCCTTCTTTTTCTATTTCTCTCTTGACTTTTTATTTTATACTTTTCAATTCGATTCGGCTAACAAGTTCCGTGCTCGTTGTACGATGAAATTTCTTAAAAAGAAACTTCCCCCTTTTTTCTTGCTTTTCTTTTTTTTTAGATAATATTTCGATCTACTACTGATGGAATAAAAAAATGAATAAAGAATGGGAAAGGGGAACGAATAAGAAGAGAAAACCGATAGATAGATAGTAAAGATTTCAATAGAGTACCTTAAATATACTATTTCATTGACAACTTTGAAAACTAATCAAACCTTTCAACGTGATTTTCCTTGTCCGTCTCTGCTTTTCGTAAAAGTTTAAGGCGAAGGATAACACGGTTGCAGCCCATTCATAAATGACTTACAATTTTGACGTGGATTACGACCAATGTATTTTGTTGCTTCGATAGATATCCAAACAATTTACCTGAAAAAGAAAAGAAGAACGAGATTAGTTAAATTACATAATAATAATAATAATAATAATATTTTAGATAGTAATGAAAAAGAGCTGTGTGTGAGTATAACTTGTCCTCTCAGTCAAAGTTTACTTTAAATTGATTTTTATTCATTGATTTTTCATCGATACGAATAAGTAATTGAAATTTGACAATATACGGAAACGATTAATATCGAAATCTTTCTAACTTTGTTGACTTACTTTAATCATAAATTAACCTTGCTCCAGTGTGTTCAAATAAATTCGAGCACACATTTTTATTTATTTTTCGTGATAGAAAAAGCGGTTTCATCATCATTTTGATATTATATAATATCGAATAAAAAAGAAATCCTTGAGAACGCAAAGGCAAAATGGAGTGGGAGAGGATGAGAGAAAAAGGAAGAGAAACGAAAGTTTTAAAAGAGTATATATAAGAAGGAAGAAGAGGAAACAGGGATCGGAGCTATAGAAGCGTATCGAGGTTTCAATTTCGTTTCAATTTCAAATAAAAGCAAGACTAAACTCCAACACGACCCTCGATCGAAAGTGGATACTACCACGGTGTGGAAAAATTACGATGAGCTGAAAGAAATACACATAAGAAAGAGGGAGAGAGAGAGAGAGAGAGAGAGAGAGAGAGAGAGAGAGAGAGAGAGAGAGAAAGGAAAAGAGTTTGCGAGGAAAAGGAAAAGAATAAAAGATTGCAAATAACGGATGCAAGAACAAAACATTTGCCAAGGATTCTCGATAGGTATAGTCGTTTTATCCGAAATATCTGCGACCAGATCAAATATGAAGAAGGAGATCAAATGATGTGTGTGCAAGTTTTCTGGGTTAACGTGATTGATCGCAACTTACGTTACGTGCCAAATTAATTTCGCGTACTTATATTACTATATAAGTATAATATATATATAATATTATATAACTATAACTTAAACACACACACACACACACACATAACGTATATTTTCAAGAATCGGTAAATTAGTGATCGAAGATATCCTTAAACCTTCATTATTTTCAATCCAGAATTATAATAATTACCGTAATATTCAATTGTAAAATGATCTCAATAGATCGCACGAATGGTGCGAAATATTACACGTTTTTTTCAACAATTTGTCAAACGTTTTATTATCCTAAAAGATCTCATTCAATATACGAATACGTAACTTTTTCTTTTTTTTTTTTTTTCTAGTAAATACTTAAGCTTATTGTTAGCAGGAAGTAAGCACAAAAAAAGCTTTTCGAAAATCCTTCCAAGATACTTTAAACATTTGCCCTACTGAATCATTTTTTTCTCGTTGAATTTTTCCCCGTATAATAGAGCTTTGCCATTATGCATGATTATCAAACAAAAAATTCGCTATCTCTGTTGGACAAAATGGTACGAGTATGTTCTTTGTTTCAACCGGTTATTCTTTGACGTCTTTGAAACTCATCTATTCTTTTTTCCTCCTTTTTCTTCTTCTTTTCTCTTATACTTCTCCTATTTCTTTTACGTGTTCTTTTCTTTTTTTTTTGTACAGCAATAAGGCACAATCCATCGGAATATATCCCAAGGCCGAGATATTAGATATAGCTGTTAGAAAAGTTCATCGATGAATCGATAACGTTGGTTGGCAGTTGATATCACTTCGGGAACTGTTATCACGTGACTTTTGCACGTCACCCTGTAGTACACAGTGTCTCACCATTGCATTCTGGAATCTTTTTCTCCAGTGAATTTCCTCACTTTTGTTTTCTCATCTCTTTTTTCATTTTTCGTTTTTTTTTTTACTTTTTATATTCTCCTACAGAGACAATGGAAAAACGTGTTCAGTTACCAGGTATTCCTTAACGTCATCTATCTATATACCTTTTTATATAACCTTGGAAGGATTATATATCCCGGGAAAAGGTTCACTTATTGTTAGTTCTTTTATGAACAAACTAGCATTTAAAGCGACTCCGTATACTAATGTCCTACTTAACTGTTCTTTTTGTTTCATTTTCTTTTCGTATCATCCTGATTAAAATCATCTGTTTTTAGTCAACAACGTATGAAGGAATTAATGTTCCCCTGCTTTTACATTGAAAGCTTCTGCTTATGAGATTGATCGTGGTGATTTGATAGAAATATCGAAAACATTGTAAAAAAAAGTTAGGAGAATCATCCGGTTGTTCATTATAAAGACTATTAAAGGAATCCCTTATAAGATAAAAGGATCGATAATGAATGTTTTTTTTTTTTCCCCAAGAGGAGAAGAAATCTCGATCTCTGCAGGAATAAAATCACGCGGATCATCGTGACGATGTTAAAAACCGAGTTCTTGAGAAAATAAAGAGAATAGAGTACAAGAAGAATGATAGTAGAAGAAGAATGGAATAAAAGGGGCGCGCGAGGAGATGAAGAATCTTGGTAGAAGATCTGATTTTAAATTCGTTTCGTCCATTAAACGTCTCTCTAATAATTTCGTTTCACGGCGATGAGAAAGATCGGTGAATGAGAATTACCATTTCTTCTATCTCTCTCCCACCCCCTTTCGTCACTTTCAATCGTGCGACACACAGAAGGGAAGAACAATGATAGTCTTCTAGAATTTTTCTCAAAGCTCAACAGGTTCGCGGTAAAAGAGCAGCATCATCGTCCTCCTCCTCTTCCTCCTCTTCCTCCTCCTCCTCCTCTTCCTCCTCCTCCTCCTCCCCCGATGGTTACGTGCTTTTCTTAACCCTCTTTACTTCGATATTTTTACGATTCGGCATTTCAAATAAAAAGAAAAAAAAACAAACACATATATATATATATTTTAGATACGTATAGTATTATATATCCCCGTATAGATATATTTAAAGAAAGAAAGAGTAAGTGAGAGAGAGAGAGAAAAGGGTCACGTAAAAGGTAAAGGGAAAGCAAATAAATTTAAAGACAAAACAGAAAAGTAGGAAAGACCGAGATTATCCACGTAGAAAAGTGAGCTCGACCGCTTTTAACAATAGCTTAGGGCTTTCGTTCGTTCTGGCCATTACGATTTACATAAAAGGTACCGCGCGTTTCGAGATAGAGCAAGGAAAAAAAGGGGAATGGGGTCGGTCGCGTACACGTGTCACCACCTACTACTACCTCGGTGGTGCTTTAGGTGGTAGAAAAGAAGAAGAAGAAACGGAAGAGGAGAGATTGTCGAGGGTGGGGGAGAAGAGGAGGGAACAAAAAAAGGTAGAGGAAGAAGAGAAATGACCATTTCGCACGTGCGTGCTCTCTCATTACGACGAAATCTCGATGCGCGAAACGAAGTGGAGTAAAAACGTGATGAGCACGCAAATCGGCTTCTCCTTCGTCTCCTTCTTCTTCTTCTTCTTCTTCTTCTTCTTCGCGTGTTTCAAACCCTTCCACCTCATCCCATCCCACTCCTCTCCTCTCCTCTTCCGTGTCATCCCCACCCATCGTTTTACTTTCGAGAAGCTTCTCGCCCCATAGTTTGAGAATAATAATACCGTTTCACTAACTTTTACTCGAAAGAGAATTTCAATGCTTTACTTTTTTTTTTCCATCGTTAATTACTCGGCAATCGTTGATGAATTAGATTCGACCACCACCACCACCATCACTACCACCAGAAGCCTACACGCTTGGTTACTATAAATCATTTCACCCTATTATTCTTCTTCTTCTTCTTCTTCTTTTTTTTCCTCTTTCAACAACCCGTTCTTTTTTTACTCCAATATCATCAGATTCCCCACACCTCCCCCCTTCCCTCTCGATTCTTTTTTACTTTGAAGTACGTATCGGTTGCTTTGACGTTGACGTCGCACGTTGCCCGAACCGTTCGAAAGACAGCACCATCAACCGCTCGGGACGATGATTGATTGATCGATCGATCGATCGAACCCAAATCAATCGATCATCGGTAACTTTAATTACCGATAACGAGACGATAATAACTGGTTATATAGAGATTCGGGGACGTGAGAAGGAAAATCGTTATTGTCTTTCGTCCTCGAGATAACATTTGCAATTATTTTTCTATCAAAATAATCAAAGTATTTATACAAATTATTTCAATATTCTTGACAACCCGTATCTCTTTTAATATTACAATTCATTTATTACTATACCTTGAAATATTTGACGGATCATTTATGGGATCATAAAAATATTATATTCATTTCGTGAGCCCCGATTCTTATAACAATTCCTATTACTTAACACTTGATTTGCGAACTGAGCGAATTTGATTCATTCAAAATTTGATTACTATACATATACAATATATAGAACTTTGAAAAACATACGTTGATTTTTAGTTACCTAATGAAATATACCGTAAATATTAATTCCTCTCCTTTACTCAACCCCTTCATTCAAACAATGTTTCTAAGTCATTAAAAAATAATGAACAAAACGTTAATCTAATCTTAACAATAACATATAATCTCGAATATAATACGTCAGAGAATGGAAACTAAACGCGCGTAGTTATTTGTAGATATTGGGAAACACGGTTAGAGTTGTTGGAACGGTAAGAGGAAGGAAGTATTCCAAGTTCGAAAGGGATCATCGAACAGATTGCTTCGTAGAAAGCACGAAGAAGAAGAAGAAGAAGAAGAAAAAGAAGAAGAAGAAGAAGAAGAAGAAGAAGAAGAAAAAGAAGAAAAAGAAGAAGAAGAAGATACTTTCCCCTCTCCGTGAAAACTCGCTGGATTACCCAAGGTCGACGATTTCCCAGTCTGCCAGAGGAATAAATCGCCTCTCTCTCTCTCTCTCTCTCCCTTACTTTCACGCTGAGCGTCTTCTCAAGGATCTCGAGTAGGACGATTATCATCGTGAAAATCTCAAGAGGGAACCGGAGGTCCTGGGTCCTTCTCATCGACAGATTCTATCTATCCCGGTAGCCTCTTTCTCCAGTCATCCTGTCGTTCCCCAACCACCCACCACTCACCCTCCTCTTTCCCTCCTTCCCTCCACACCCCCTCTCTTTCTTCCTTCCTTCCTTCCTTCCTTC